CCCCCCCAGCGCCTGCCTGCGGCGGCGAGCGCGATGGTGGCAACGCGAGGGTGACCGCACGGGCTCAGCCCCCACCCCAATAAAACACACCAGAGACTTCAAAAAACGCGACACAAACCCCACCGCAGGACAACTGCTAAACCAGCGGTGAAAGCTTTGGAAATTGTCTCAAGCCCTCCAGTGTCAGCACCAACTCCCGACTTCCCGCAACTTCTAGGGAATGCGGCTCCTTTTCTGGAGCAGCCGGGGCTCTTTCCGCCCCGCTCCATGCCCCCGGCGCTGACCGAAACCCAGCGACGCAGCCCCACAAGAGCTGTTATGGGGAAAATAAACATCAAAAGCAGTTTCCCCCCATGGCGTTTCACCATCTGGCTCTTCCATGGCACTCGCTGCCTCAGCGCCGTGCCTGTTTTTGGGGTGCCCCGCGCGTCAGGGGGTAACAGAACGCGACGCCGCGCTCCACCTGCGTCGGGTAGCTGACGAACTGCAGAGCCGAGTTGCTGGAAACCATCGCGCCCAGGTAGGAGAGCGAGCAGGCGGCGTACAGCCAGCTCCGGGTGCGATCCGCTTTGACGGCGTCGAAGAAGTGGATCACTGGGGGGAAAGCAAAGGGAAAACGGATCGCAGGGGGTAAGGGGAAGGGAAAATGGGGGGAAGGCAAAGAACACACAGATTGCCGGGGGGAAGGCAAAGGGAAAACGGCTTGCTGGCGAAGGAAAAACAGATCGCTGGGGGAAAGCAAAGAAAGAACAGATCACTGGGGGGAAGGGAAAATGGATCCCTGGGGGAAAGGCAAAGGACAAAGGGATCGCTGGGAGGAAGGTGAAGGAGAAATGAATTGCTGGTGAATGGGAAGTGGATCACTGGGGGAAGGCAAAGGGAAAATGGGATCAACAGAGGGAAAGCAAAGGGAAAGCAAAGGGAAAACAGATCGTTGCGGAAAGTGAAAACAGATCACTGGTGAGAAGGGAAAGGGAAAATGGATCCCTGGGGGGAAGGGAAAATGGATCCCTGCGGGGAAGGAGAAGGGAAAATTGGATCAACGGGAGGAAGGCAAAGGGAAAACCGGACGAGCACGGGGAAGGCAAAGCCAGGGCGAGCCAGGAGCGCTGCG